GTGACAAATGCTTCGGGGCAGTCCAGGTTTACGCTCTTCTACACTTGTTTGGCTATAAGGTTTTGACAAGAAAGCCGAATTACATGGTTGTGAGGATCGAAGGAACTGGTTCAGAAATTATAATATGATCACCTGGGTACAAGGCGAGGCTATATATAGGCTCGACACAAAGGCTGTAAACCGGGTGTTACTAGAAGGTTCCGCGGGTCGCGAAGCGTCCCGAACGGGTCCTTCCCGAATTCGGTAGAACGCAATTCGGTGGCAACCGAAAAGCCTAGAATTCAGTGCACTCAACCTAGTTCGGTGCCTAAAACTATAATAATTATAGTAAGCAACGAACCTAGGAAATCAAGCAAATGCATGCAAGATAAAATAAATTTAACCTAGTTAATCCATAATAGAGCAGAATCAAGCAAGTAAAGTCCAGCAAAGCCGTCGTACTCTCACACGTCCCCCCCTCAAAGCTGGGTGGCGTGAGATACACCCTGCTTGACAAGATAATCATTGAGAGCACGGCGTGCGTTGCCCATATCAGCTTCTGTAACCCAAATGTCCTCCGATGGGTCATATCCCTTCCAGCGTATCAGGGACTCGAGCGTGGAGCCGTGCCTGCGTCGATAAGCGAGCACTCGTTCCACCTCATACTCTGGTTCATCCTGTACGAGAACAGGTGGTAATGGCGGTAGCTTCCGTCCCATGAACTGTTGGTTGGGGTCCTTGTAGGGCTTCAGTAGCTGAACATGGAAAGCGTTGTGAAGCTTGCACGTGGTAGGTAAGCGCAAGCGGAATGTTACTGGTGTCACCTTCTCCTAAACGCGAAAGGGACCACATAAGCGAGAGCAGAGCTTGGACGGAAGATGGGACAAGTCCAAGTTGCGTGTGTCGAGAAGCACCTGATCTCCAACTGCTACTGAGTGATCACGTCGCTGTCGATCGGCATACTGCTTATGGGAGTTCAGCATCATGGTGAGACGTCGATGAGTCTTCTCCCATAGCTGCTGCATGGTGGTGACGAAGTCATGTGCGGCTTGGACGTGTGCCGGTGTGGTTGGCTGCTGTGGTGTAAGTGGTTCCCGTCCGTAGCACGGGAAGAAAGGAGATTTCCCTGTGGCCGCATGTGACGCGTTGTTGTAAGCGAACTCAAGCGTCGGCAACTGTAGATCCCAGTGGTTGATGTTGTTGCGGAAGTTCACCAACCATGGAGGGCAGAGTACTTTCCGAGACAGCAAAAGGTTCATCGGCGTAAGCAAATATCAGTTGGCGGGGAGAGCCGACAATACTGGAGCAGCTTCAAGCGAGGGAATGCTTGGAAGAGTGACACGGAGGGGTGCGCAGCGGTAGCAGGGGCTGCACTATACATAAATGTACTATACCGAGTTACAAGCAAGGGTGCGCTTGCGCATGAAGGGATGGGTGTATGGTGTGCATGTTTCTTTCGTGTGCTTGGAATGTTCCATTTGGCAGGGCGGAAGCTACTAACGAGTACAAGGGCAGCAAGTTCGACACCTGGCAGAGGTTGCAAGGGAGCACGCGGGCCAGGTTGACAGCTGGTCACAATACCCCAACAGGAGCTCATGCAGCCACAAGCCGCTGTTGGCATGTATATAGAACTCGGTGGCCCAAGCCTCGTTCGAATGTGATGGCTGCTTGTCGTTTCCTGCTGAAGCACAGGTGCTAGGGTTTGTGCTCATCTTGTACGTAGGCTTCATGAACACTAGTGGCATGTGCTTTGTTGTATGTTTTCTGTTTTTGCAATGTAATCTGGTTAAACCAAGCACGAGCATCATAGCCTAGGCGGAAGCCATCAGTCGGCAGTATATGGGTTAGTGGGGTTTTCTGACATACAATGAAGGAAATCTCACGACAAGATAGGAGAGGTAGTACATGCAGCTCAGGTCAGGTAGACGCTACGACTTACCACCAAAGCCTTCAGTCATGGCGACACCGGGCTGGCGGGCGGGAGAGGCTGGAGAAACGGGAGGAAGCGCTCTTGACGCGGGATCCGGAAGCCGCTCCGCCAGAGAGACCTACACGGCGCCACATCGGAGGCACAATATGGGTGACCTGCCGAGCGGAAGCCTGGGTGCGCAAGAGAACGCAAGGGACGACCGTCGGCGAGGCTGGCCACGACCGGAGTGGCAATGCTGAATGTGGAGAGCGAGGGAGGCAGACACGGAGCTGCTCCAGCAGACTCGCCGGCTGTCACTTTCGGAGCATCGCGGCACGGAAGTGACGCGTGTGCCGGTGCGCTACGCCGCGCTACCCAAGATCGAAGTACCAGAGCGTTTTGCGGGCACTCCGGTTGTGGGCAGCACTCTAAAGAATTACATGATGCAAATCCGCAATGCCCAGTACCGGTGGATGAATGTCGGATGCCATAGGCTCCGAACTCCTTTCCCGCTTGCTCTTGCGTTATGCTGCTGATAGTTCCTTCTTCTTCCACTCTCTCCTCTCATCGCTGTTAGTAAACTCCCATTTGTCTTCTCCTTTCCTTCCCGTATTCTCCCTTCTCTCCTCCCATGCTCCCCCACTTGTCTTACCCACTCGAAAAATCCCCTGATCTAACGACATGCTCCTCCCTCACTGGCTAGTTCTGCTAGGAAAATAGCACACACCATTCCAGTATATCGAGGAAACAAACAAACAAGCAAGGAGTTCAGTGGAGGCTAGCTGCCTATGTACAAAGCAAATCTTGGCTAGCTACTGAATTCTTGCAAAGGGCGTGAGCGGAAGTGAAGACCTGCACACACACGCCAGCAACAGACGCATACAGGAAGCATACACCAACACCATCCGACATGTACGCAATCTCAACCATTCAGCCAGCCCACATATGTACAAATGCAATCTGCTCTGTCCATCCATAATGGTTCCCGTCTCCCTTGACAACCCACTCCACCCGTCCCCCACTTCACGTGAAACCCCAGCTCGGCTGCCATCACTGTACACGCGAGGCGTCTGCATTGCCCCTTGCAACTACCCAGCTCTCCTCTCGTTGCACCCTTCCAGCTGTCGCTCCTGGATGTCCGACAATGCTCCGCTACTTGCCTTCTCGTTACAGTGCTGTGTCCTGTACTACCTGTACTTCCCGTCGCATGAAACAGAAACAAACACTCTTTCTGGTTTCGTGTGACAGCTGTCGGATGCCATAGGCTCCTAACTCCTTTCCCGCTTGCTCTTGCGTTATGCTGCTGATAGTTCCTTCTTCTTCCACTCTCTCCTCTCAGCGCTGTTAGCAAACTCCCCTTTGTCTTCTCCTTTCCTTCCCGTATTCTCCCTTCTCTCCTCCCATGCTCCCCCACTTGTCTTACCCACTTGCCCCCTTCCGGGACCTGCCTGGCTCCCTGCTGCTGGTCCTTAGGAACTCCCTACATCTTGTTTCCGGTCGCCCGCGCCACATTCGTCACATGGTCATCGCGTCGCTTGCCCTCCTCTGACTCTAACACTAGCACCCCCGAGGGCTTCACCTCCTTCACCACCCACCGCTCTGTTGACAACCCCACATCCAAGTTGTCGTTCCTGGCCTTCCTAATGTACACTTCGGTGCCGCTCTCCACTGGCTTGCCTGTCCCCTTTCCGGTTTGCAGAAGCCTCTGTTGATAGCGCTTGGCGTCCCTCAGCTGCGCAGTGTGCAGGTTCTCAAGCGCTACTGGCATGATCTTCTTCAGGTACCTGGCTCGGCAGTCCGCCAGCGCTGCCCAGTTCTCGGGGGTTCCAGCTCTCACTACTTCGGTCAGGACCTTCGGAGCTCCCACCGGTAGAATGGGCTCCTTCCCATACAGCAGGTAATACGGAGAGTAGTCTCGGAGTGCCGCCTGCTTAATGAACCGGTATCCTGCCGCCACCCAGTGCAGCTCCTGATCCCAGTCCCTCTTGTGTTCCTCTCCGTAGGCGCGAAGCCCCTTCTTGATCGTCTGTACCATCCTCTCAGTCAGCCCGTCTGCTTGTGGATGGTACCTTGATGTTCGTCGGTGCGTGATGCCCACCGTCTTTAGCAGTTGATCAAACGCTCCTCTGAACTCGGCGCCCTGATCCGTCAGTACTTCCCCGCATGCTCCGAATTGTGTGAGCACTTGATCTGTGAACGCCTCGGCAACAATCTCGGCGCTCTTGCTGCCCAGCGCCCTCACCTCCACCCACTTGGACACGTGCTCGATCATGACCAGCACGTAACGCTTGTTCTTGCGGCTCAGCGGCAGTTCTCCCGCCAGGTCGAGCGACCATCGGTACCCTAGTCCGCGGATGGGCAGCGACTGCAGTTCCTGCTGCTCTCTCTCCAGGTTGGCCTTGTTTCTGCTGCACAACTCGCAGTCCGCCACGACTCCTTTCACGTCCCGCTGCAGCCCGGCCCACCACCATCCCGTTGTCAGCAGTTGCGCGGTCCGCACATGGCCGTAGTGCCCCAGCTGACCGTGTACCTTCTCAATGAGTGCCCTCCTCTGCTCTAGTGCCGGCACTAGTTTCCAGCCGTCCTTGGTGTCGACCTGCAGCTGATGTTGGTACCACCGGTAATGCCTGCCTCGCTCTCGCGCTCTCTCTCCCACGTCCTCCTCTGCTTCGGTCTCCCCCTTTACCCATCGCAGCACCGCTGGGTCCTCCCAGACATCTTCCGGCCCTCTCCCTCGGTGCCTCGCTTCCTCCGCCGCCCGCATTCCGTTGGCCAACGCCACAAGGCAGACCGCCGGCGAGCCTTCTTCTGGAGGCGGCGGGTTCCTTGAGAGCCCGTCCACGTGCTGGAGTGTTTTTCCTGGGCGGTGCCGTATCTTAAACTCCCATGCCTCTCCCCCTTCCTCCCATGCCTCTCCCCCTTCCTCCCATGCCTCTCCCCCTTCCTCCCATGCCTCTCCCCCTTCCTCCCATGCCTCTCCCCCTTCCTCCCATGCCTCTCCCCCTTCCTCCCATGCCTCTCCCCCTTCCTCCCATGCCTCTCCCCCTTCCTCCCATGCCTCTCCCCCTTCCTCCCCCATGCGATCTGTGCAAGTATGGGCAGTGGCACAGGGCTATGCAACAGCAGCAGTGTGTGTGCAGAGCAACCATATCTCTTCGTGTGCCTCCCCCCCTGCTCCCCCTCTCCCCTTGCCAATCTGTGCGAGTACGATGGCAGCAGCACTGTGTGCACAACCATCTCTCTTTCTGTGTCCCCTCCCCTCCCCTCCTCCCCTCCCCACGCCAGTCTGTGCAAGTACGCGGCAGTGGCGCTGGGCTATGCAGCAGTGTTCATTCAGCACCCGCTGCCAGGCAGCCCGCACCTCAAGGTGTGGGACCACGCTGCTGGTGTGCTCTGCGTCACCGAGGCAGGCGGTCAGGTGCGCCTTGCTCCCTCTTGCTGCTTGCCATGTGCGCCTTGCTCCCTCTTGCTGCTTGCCATGTGCGCCTTGCTCCCTCTTGCTGCTTGCCATGTGCGCCTTGCTCCCTCTTGCTGCTTGCCATGTGCGCCTTGCTCCCTCTTGCTGCTTGCCATGTGCGCCTTGCTCCCTCTTGCTGCTTGCCATGTGCGCCTTGCTCCCTCTTGCTGCTTGCCATGTGCGCCTTGCTCCCTCTTGCTGCTTGCCATGTGCGCCTTGCTCCCTCTTGCTGCTTGCCATGTGCGCCTTGCTCCCTCTTGCTGCTTGCCATGTGCGCCTTGCTCCCTCTTGCTGCTTGCCATGTGCGCCTTGCTCCCTCTTGCTGCTTGCCATGTGCGCCTTGCTCCCTCTTGCTGCTTGCCATGTGCGCCTTGCTCCCTCTTGCTGCTTGCCATGTGCGCCTTGCTCCCTCTTGCTGCTTGCCATGTGCGCCTTGCTCCCTCTTGCTGCTTGCCATGTGCGCCTGGCTCCCTCTTGCTGCTTGCCATGTGCGCCTTGCTCCCTCTTGCTGCTTGCCATGTGCGCCTTGCTCCCTCTTGCTGCTTGCCATGTGCGCCTTGCTCCCTCTTGCTGCTTGCCATGTGCGCCTTGCTCCCTCTTGCTGCTTGCCATGTGCGCCTTGCTCCCTCTTGCTGCTTGCCATGTGCGCCTGGCTCCCTCTTGCTGCTTGCCATGTGCGCCTTGCTCCCTCTTGCTGCTTGCCATGTGCGCCTTGCTCCCTCTTGCTGCTTGCCATGTGCGCCTTGCTCCCTCTTGCTGCTTGCCATGTGCGCCTTGCTCCCTCTTGCTGCTTGCCATGTGCGCCTTGCTCCCTCTTGCTGCTTGCCATGTGCGCCTTGCTCCCTCTTGCTGCTTGCCATGTGCGCCTGGCTCCCTCTTGCTGCTTGCCATGTGCGCCTTGCTCCCTCTTGCTGCTTGCCATGTGCGCCTTGCTCCTTCTTGCTGCTTGCCATGTGCGCCTTGCTCCCTCTTGCTGCTTGCCATGTGCGCCTTGCTCCCTCTTGCTGCTTGCCATGTGCGCCTGGCTCCCTCTTGCTGCTTGCCATGTGCGCCTTGCTCCCTCTTGCTGCTTGCCATGTGCGCCTTGCTCCCTCTTGCTGCTTGCCATGTGCGCCTTGCTCCCTCTTGCTGCTTGCCATGTGCGCCTGGCTCCCTCTTGCTGCTTGCCATGTGCGCCTTGCTCCCTCTTGCTGCTTGCCATGTGCGCCTTGCTCCCTCTTGCTGCTTGCCATGTGCGCCTTGCTCCCTCTTGCTGCTTGCCATGTGCGCCTTGCTCCCTGTTCTTAATCGCCAGCACCCACTGCAGACCTACACGTGGTCTAGTCACTGCCTTCCCATGTAACAGCACACACTCACATGAGTTGAACACTGATGCATCTCAAATCTACTCTTCCCCATTTGGTCCCTCCGTTCCCTGCCTCTCCCGTCACTGCCCATCCCCTCCCTGCTCCTCCCCTCCCTACCCCTCCCGTCTCTGCCTCTCTCCTCTCTGCCCCTTTTCTCTCTGCCCCTTTCCTCTCTGTCCCCCCTCACTGCCCCTTCCCTTGCTGCCCCTCCTATCTCCATCCCCTCCCTTGCTGCCCCTCCCATCGCCGTCCCCTCCCTCTCTGACCCTCGCATCCTGTCCCCTCCCTCTCTGACCCTTGCATCAGGTAACCGACTTCGCAGGGCAACCGCTTGAGCTCGGTGGGGAAGTGAGGCAGGGCGATGAAGAATGGGCACGTGTGGCGACAACACATGCACCCGAGCAGGGATGCAACGACGGCAGCAACGGCAGCTTGGCGTATTTCAGTCCGCATGGAGGGGGAGTGGTGGCCAGTAATGGTGTGCTGCATGCTCAAGTGCTTCACCACCTGGCAATAGGCCTTCGCATGAGACGAGGGTAGATGGAGGGTACCAGGTTTCATGCGTGGGTGGATGGAGGGTAAGAGGCTTCATACAAGGGTGCATAGGGGGGGTTGTGACGTGCTGCACGCGCATGCTGTGCTGCACGCACATTTCTGCAACACCCAGCAATACCTAGGCCTGCGCATGACACGAGGGTAGTGGGTAGTTCATGAGACCGGTTGAAGGGGTGGTGGTGGGCTGTGGGTACAGGAGTGTGCTGGCACCTGATGGTGTGCTGCGCCACTTGTCAACATGCCTTCTGATGTTGTGCGGATCATCAGATTCGTAAGAGGGTGGATGGGAGGGCGTTGCAAATCTCATCTACCGTACCGTATTTCCCCGGATATAAACAGCAGGGGACTTTGTGAAAGAAATACTGGTAACTGAACAAGGATAATGGAAGTGCAGCAGGCATGAGTACGATTAGGAAACCCTAGCAAATGTGTACCTGCTGTAGAGTAACCTGTCTAGACTACATAAAACATGATAAACATATTTTGACACACCTCCCATGAAAACAACAGATAGCTCAGGGTGGATCCCGAAGTCACCACACAGTCTGAGAGAAAGCAGGAGGCCACAAGACTAGTCAAAACAAGCAACACATGATGGTACGACTAGCTAGCCTCTGCAACAAGCAACCACAAACGAGGCCTGTTCAAGAGTTCACATACCGGTATATACATATACGGCAAAACAAGCAGAGTAAGAGACAAGAGACAAGCCTTGTGGCCACCAGGCGAAAAGGCCTTGGTGAAGATGTCTGCAGTGAGGCCACAATGGCCAAGCGTGCCTGTCCACGTCGTTGCAGCTCTCGCAGCAGGAAGTACCGCAAGTTGATGTGCTACACCCTGACCTCGAGGCTCTCGACACAGGAGGATCATGGCCTTGTTGTCTGCGAACAAGGTCGGTGCAGAGCTAGGCCGCTCACCTAGGTAGGTGAGCAAGTAGGTCAACCAGCGAAGCTCCAGAGCAGCCATGGCACTGGCGTAGATCTCGACCTCAGCACTGGACGAAACCACAGACGACGACCGAGTAGACCTCCACAACAAAGCTCCAGAGCCCAAGCTGAAGAAGTACCCCTGAGTAGACCTGCAGGTCTCCAAGTCGTCGGCGTATAACGAGTCACACTGCCCAGCCAGTACTACTGCCTCTCTCCCACCAAAACAAGCCCCATGCGTGATGTAGTCGCCAAATACTTCGCTACCCTCACAACAGCTGCTCAGTGATCAGGACGGTGTCTCCTAGTCGCAACAAAGCGAGCCAGGACGTTGAGAGGATAAGCGAGGTCCGTGTGATTACAGGTCATCACGTACATGAGGCAACCCACAATCTCTGCGTAAGGACCACTAGACTCAAAGAGCTCGTCTGAAAAAGGAGCGGTGAGTCCATGGGCAACTGCAAGAGAAGTGGGCAGTGTGGTGGAGAACTGCAGCTCGAACCGTTGAAGGACCTGCAGCACCGTGTGTGACTGAGTCAGTGTGACGGTGCGAGCGGCTCTTTCCCTGGTGATATGCAAGCCAAGGTAGCAGCTCAGTTCACCAAGGTCAGTTCACGTGTGTCTCTTCTGTAGTTCGGACTTCACAAAAGCCAGAGCAACTCTGTCAGCGGTAGCGAAGACTATGTCGTCGACGTAGACGAGAACGAAGACGGAAGTGGGACCAGAACGCACGAACGGTGAAGGGTTGGCGGACGAAGGACTGAACCCAAGGTCAGCAAGAGTGGTGCGCAGGGTGTTGTACCACTAACGAGGTGCCTGGCGCAGTCCGTAGACTGGTAGTCTTAGGCTCCACTGGGTCCCAGGCAGGAAAGTACCAGTGAAGCCAGGAGGACGGCATAGCCAGATCTCTTCGTGCACGCTGCCCCGGAGAAAGGCAGTGGAGAAGTCCAGTGAGTGTAGCATGTAGTCTCGCTCTGCTGCAATGTGTAGTAACACCCGAAGAGTAGTCATCTTCGGGGTCGGGGAGAAGGTCTGGAAGAGGCCAATAGCTCACCAGCAGCATTCTCGGAGAGGGAAACATTATCGATAAGGCGGAGCTCCTGCAGCCACGACGGGAAGTCTACCGGACGCCCCTAAGGGTCAAACTGAAGGACACGAGCAGCTGCCATAGCAGTGGCAGGCCTCTGCAAGGAACGACACGGGTACAGGCGGTTAGGGAGGCTCGAGTGCGGTCGGGTGCAGTTGAGAGCGGTGGTGTACGGTCGTATGCGGATGGGAGGGTTCGAGTGCGTGGAGTTCGGTCGGGTGCAGCTAAGAGGGGCCGAGTGCGGTGGAGTGCGGTCAGGATCGGTTAGGAGGGGTCCAGTGCGGTTGGAAGGGGTCGGGTGCGGTTGAAAGGGGTCGGGTGCGATTAGAGATGGGGGCGGCGGTCTAAGGGGCGCGGGCGGTGGTGGGCGAAGGAGCGCGGGCGGCGACGAGGGAACCGAAGAGGGCGGCGGGAGCGGGGCGCGGACGGGGCACATGAGCGGGGTGCGTGCGGGACGCATGCGAGGTGCGTACGGGCTACGGGCCGCAGTCGTCGGGGTGCTGGCTGCTTACGGGGTACAGGGCGCGGGCACCAGGCGTAGGGGCGTCGTGCTACAGGACGTGGGCGCGCGAGCTATAGGACGTCAGGCTACAGGGCGCGAGCTCGGGGCGTACGAAGGGCTAAGGGCGACGGGCGGGACTAGGGCGGGGTGCGTGGCGGTGGGCCCATGGGAACGAACTAAGCTCTATACCAAGTGAATAAAATAGGTGAACAAGGATGATGGAATCGTAGCAGGCATGAGTATTAACAGGAAACCCTAGCAAATGTGTACCCGCAATAGAGTACACTGCCTAGACTATATAAAATATGATAAATGTTTTTTGACAGGCTTTTCTCAGATTCAATGAAAATACTTAGGGTGAACATTGATGGAAAGCGTGCGAATCTAGAGAGCGTAACAAGAGATTAAGTCCGCCGACTTCGACGGAACATTGCGTGCATCTCACGTAACCTTAAAATATGAGCAGGTGCGCGTTGGAAAGGTCCTAATCTCTACTTTTCAGAATGGTAACGCACGTTTTCAACCAAGCTCTAGGCCGATCGCTATCGCGATTTATGTGCGACGGGGTATCCTGGCGGAATTACTTGGCAGCCATGGATTAGATCTAGCAATAGCTTTAGTAAGAGTTCAGATCTCAAAGGTCACGAGTTTGGCAAACCCTACCAACCTATCCTTCGCTCTACAACAATCCCCAACAATTCAAAGTGCCAAACTAGTAACACCAAAGGTGTTCTTGTGAATGGCAAAGGTTTGTTGGTGCTTGTTGGGTGCGATTTCAATCCAGCCCGCAACAAGTCTAACAACCACATTTTGCCCAAGCCCTTAGCCCACAACCAGCTAGAGAAAAATATCACAACCACCTACACAATCAACACTCCCCCTTGCTCGTGCAGGATGTGGCTGAACACCACTGGGCAAAATCCTTCACTCCACTCCCCCTTGTCCAGGGAGGGGCGCCATCCACAGCATGATGTCGTCAAGGCAGAGAAGCACCAGCCCTCCCACATCCTGCTCAGGTACCATGCCAACATGGGGCTGCATCCCCATCAAGGACATGCACACACTATGCCGCTCAAAGGGAAGGGGTTTGGTGAGTATGTCTGCTGCTTGGCGGTTGGTTGGACACCACCGGAGGATGACCTCGCCACTAGCCACCATCTCCCAGATGAAATGCCACCTAACTTGCATGTGCTTGGTGCGGCCATGCAAGCATGCATTCTGTGCAAGGGCAATGGCAGACTGGTTGTCCACAAACATAGGCACACCATCAGCAAAACCATGCCCAAACTCCCCAAACAAACGCTTCAGCCACACACCCTCCTGAATGCACTGACACAGACTGCTGTACTCACTCTCAGTGGTGGACAATGCAACCACCGGCTGCCTCTTGTTTTGCCAAGAGATGGCTGCACTATTGAGGCAATAGACATAGCCGGTGTGACTCCTGCGATTAGCTGAATCTCCAGCATAATCAGCATCACTAAAGCCCACCAACTCGACCTAAGGCTCACTGCGTGCGGGGAAGAAGATACCTGATTTCACACAACCTTTCAGGTACTTCCGCACTTTCTTCGCAGCCTGCAGGTGGAATGCCCTTGGGACAAGACACCACCTTGGACAGCTGTGCCACTGCATAAGCAATCTGGAGCTGTGTGGTCGTGCTTGTATACATGAGGGACCCCACAATGCTTTGATAGAGATGAACTAGCTCATCTCTCAGCAAGGGTCCTCAGCATGTGCATGCACGTCGAACCCTGTAGGGAGAGGGGTACGCACGGGGTTAGCCACAGAAATGTCAAAGGACTTAAGCATATTGAGAATGTACCTCTCCTCATGAATCAAAATAC